GTGATTCGCTTAATATATATGGCAAGAAAGGTCGTAAAATGGGGCAAAATTCATTTAACAACTGCCTCAGTTAGTAACAGAAATTCTGGGCTCAATATTCTGGTTGTAAGTTGAGAATGACCTGTATCCTTAGTAGGCCATAAGATCACCCAACCCACTAGGACTCACTTCTGAATAAATATGGTCCTTGTTCCTAACTTGAAACCAGTGTGAACAAAAAGTCTCCTCGGTCTGAGTCCTCAAGATGTAAATATGTATGCAGTAAGATTAACAGTGATGACAGAATGAAGTACAGCATACAGAAGTTACTTCCATTATAAACACAGGCTGTAGATAACATAAATATATTTTGACCTCTTATCCTTTTCTGCCTTTCTCTTATACTTGATATATAAATAGTACATCAAAGAGAGGATTTCCCGTCCTTTATCTTTCCTCATCCAATGAAATTAATGAAATTGTCATGTCATCTTTTAGAGTTTGGATAGCAATTATCTTTCCATACATAAACCTGAGTGCTCAAAACATAGCGCCACTTGAGAGAAATGAGAGCAGGAAGCAGTGATGTGTGGCTGTTGTCGTTGTTTTTTGCAACAAAAAGTATTCCAGAATTTAGAAACTATACAGTAGTCAGACTTGGTACATTTTGCTTTTGGATTTTGCAGCACGGAGAAAAAAAATTGATTTAATTATCACCAAGTTCAACAATTATAAATATAAGTCGGTGTTTTCCAAACTGGGTGCTTTCCAAAGGGGTTGGAACTACCCTGGGAGTTACAATCCCCATATTTCTGTAGGAAACCATGTGAGGAACAGTTGCTTTCAAGAGTTTTTAACAGGCATTTCAGCCAAATCAAAATTATGGCTATAAGGCCAGTAGCTGAAGAACAATAACAATGGAGCTGAAGAAAACTAAACAGAGAAATGAATATTAAGCTTCCAGATCAAGGAGAGATTGATCGTGCAAATGGAATTATGCGCTTCTGTGCAAAACTATGCAAACTCAAAGGATTTTTTTTTTAAAAAAAAATGGTCAGAAGGGAATAACAGCAAAGTGAAGTTATGCTTGTAACACCAGAACAAGGCAGTTCTTCGCCATCCCCATTAGCACTGGAGCTGAGAAGCAGGCTGCATGTGGCTGCTGCAGACTTTGGCTACTGTCCTCCAGAACCTTTACAAAGTTTCTGCCAAGAGGAAAATGTTTAAATATATTCATGAGGAACAATCATGTTAAACGAATTTAATTTCTAAATATAAATGAAATCAGATGTAGGTTTTGCCCTGACTTTGCCTACCTCTTTCCCCTAAGGTGCTACTTCTAATGCTGTGTTCCAGGAGAAATGATCTTTCAAGAAGCAGACAAGAATTGGGGTAACTATTAAGCAATAGCAACAGCACTTAGACTTATATACCACTTCACAGTACTTTACAGCCCTTTCTAAGCGGTTTACAGAGTCAGCCTATTGCCCCCAACAATCTGGGATCTCATTTTACCCTCCTCGGAAAGCTGGAAGGCCGAGTTATAGTTATCCCAAAGGTGCTTTTTCACGAGGCAACTGGACTTGCTGCCTTGTGAAAAAGCACCCTTGGGCTTGAGCCAGTCAGAATCGAACTGCTGGCAGTTGGCAAAATTAGCCTGTGATACTCTAAGCACCGCACCACCAGGGCTCTTGTGATGATGGATGTAGGTCTATTATTCTTACAGAATGAGAACATCTGTTTGAACTGATTAACTCTTCCATAGCAGAACCTCTTGAGATATTCACTGCACTATCAAAGTGTTCCCAGTTGTTGGCATTTCTGTAGCCTGAGTATTCGAACAATTTGCACATGTATTTTTTACAATAATACTGTAATGTACCCCAGTCTTTGAGACACAGTTGTACAGTGCTTGTTATTATTGTTAGTTGCAAAGTCATGTCCGACCCATCGTGACCCCATGGACAACATTCCTCCAGGCCTTCCTGTCCTCTACCATCTTCTGGAGTCCATTTAAGCTCACGCCTACTGCTTCAGTGACTCCATCCAGCCCCCTCATTCTCTGTCGTCCCCTTCTTCTATTGCCCTCAATCTTTCCCAGCATTAGGCTCTTCTCCAGTGAGTCCTTCCTTCTCATTAGGTGGCCAAAGTATTTGAGTTTCAACTTCAGGATCTAGCCTTCTAAAGAGCAGTCAGGGTTGATCTCCTCTAGGACTGACCGGTTTGATCACCTTGCAGTCGAGGGGACTCGCAGGAGTCTTCTCCAGCACCAGAGTTCAAAGGCCTCCATTCTTTGGCGCTCAGCCTTTCTTATGGTCCAACTTTCACAGCCGTACATTGCAACTGGGAAAACCATGGCCTTGACTATACGCACTTTTGTTGGCAGGGTGATGTCTCTGCTTTTTAGTATGCTGTCTAGATTTGCCACAGTGCTTAGGATGGTAATAGGTTTTTTTGAAGCAGGAATGTGAGGTTTATAAGGAATTGCCTTCCTTGTCTACAAAGACTCCCCTTGGCACTGATTCAATGCTCCACCTCATTTTTCTTATTCTCTTAAATTCATAAAAAAAATGTAAGTAGAAATCAGGTTTGTTGCAAACCGAACGCCAGCTGCCATCATATTGTGCTTTCAAAATTCATTTTGCCCCCTGTAGCCTTTGAAACCCTCCTGTGAAAATGAAA